ATGATTCCGACATCATGTTTTCTTCAGTGTTTTTTCTGTAACTGCTAATGCTCTTTTTACACACAGACTGAACAACATGAAGCATTGCTTGGTGATTGGTTGAGCTAAACTGGTATTATCTAATTGTGAAGTTAAATTTAACAGCTGACAGATATTCAACATAATTCATGTGTGAGAGTCTAACAGAAGGACGGACAAAACCAGTCAAATATCAGCTGATCTAATAACTCTGAGTTCTGCTCATATTTTACTACCATTTTCTAAACTATAGCGAATAAACTGTGATAATGTGAGAAATGTCGAAGGTCTGAATGAATGTTGGTTTGACTGTACATGTACAGTAGTGGCCAAAAGTGATGTAATTTGTTTTTATTGACCCTACAAGTTCCATTAAGCCATAAAAATATGAGAAAAATATTTTAAATATGAGGGAAGAACAAAACATTAAACTTGGTTGAGGTATTTATCTGACAGAATTATATGGCAAAAAAATTATAAAAACTACAGCTACAGGTTTTATTTGACTATGCATAAAAAAGGCTCATAAAAAAAACATAATCAGTTATTAATATTTCATTGGTTCTCTCTTGAGTTCATAATTTCTTAGTATGATAGCCTGGTCAAAAATTATGTTTCAATAATGATGATGATCAGTTTTGGCCACAACTGTACAGTGGGGTATAAAAAACAGTGAAAATGCAGTAAAACTTTAAAATAAGGTCTCATTTGTTAACATTATTTAATACATTAACTATGAGCAATATATGTTTACATGCCAGATTGTACAAGTATATAATAGCTGCAGGCCAAAGAACCCAAAAGGGGCGTGGTCTCCAAAAGGGGCGTGTCTCCAATGGGCGTGGCCTCCGAAAGGGGCGGAGCCTCCACACACAAAGACTTCCGCTTCCACCTAATGTTGACGACTTACATTTCAAAATAAAAGCTTGTAAATTAAACACTGTTTCTCGCTGAAAGATTAATTGATCTTGCATCAAATTTAGGCATATATTAAATAAAGTTATAACGTTATTAAACGAACGTTTTGGCCGTTCGTTTACACGATAACGGCGTTTTGTGCGCCTGAAACTGCAAACTTTTGAAAACGGGTTTCAAAGTGCAAGTTTTTGAAAACGGTCTCCGTGTAAACAGCAAAAACGTGAACCTCTGAAAACGCTGACGTCATGCTCATGCGTATCACGTGTTCAGTCTACAGCGTTTCATCGCCATCTAGTGGCCTGGCAGCAGAATACAGCGCTTTTAGTCGTCGTTGGAATCGTTTTGACAGCGGTGTCGTCTGTACGCAGAAAAATCAAAGGAAAAACTTCTCCGTTTTAAGCATATCGTTGTCGTGTAAATGTACCTTAAATCAATATAGATGCGTTTATTATTAAGATATAGCCGATCGAACGTTAAAAGCGTTAAAAGAAGTTTGCGAAAAACAAATAATTTGTACGTGTCGTGTGTGTCTTCTGTCAACGGGAGGAAGACACGCCCCGATCAAATGAGTCACATGATCAATGTCAACCATTTCCTTACATTTGATTAGTCACCTAGACAGTGAAATCTGAAATATTTACATCATAACGTGTCTATGTTTTAAAATCTGAATGATAAAACATTGTTTATTTCCCGGTATTTGTTCGTTTTTCATATTTTTAATACGGTCTCAAACTTTTGAACCCTACTGTATATATTACACACACACACACACACACACACACACGAGTACAGGAGATGTGCTCTCTTTGCACTCTAAGCATCTCATACCACTTTCGCAGATTAAACGTCACCACTAAATAACCGGTAGAAAACCTCACTTACACACACACACACACACACACACACACAAAACCGTCCTCACCCTGATCTACAACAGCCAGACCATAAAACTGCTGAACACACTCTGTAAAATATAACACACACACACACAAATTACAACAACACCAATATATGGGCTGACATTTGTGTATTTACAAATAAATAGAATGGAGTTCACAAATATACGTACAATTTCTAAATATAAAACTATCAAGGTTAATTAAAAACAAAAGAAATTCAGAAAAATGATAATGTGAAACAAACTGTGATTTCCTCAAGTTATCAGATTGATTTATTTCAGTGTAATGTACAAATTAACAAATTAACGCTCATTACATTTATTTGTGAATTTTAAACAAATATCACCCCATGCCAAAGTACACAAACAAGAACTTGTGTACATATGAACACAAAGTTACAAATATTCTTATAACACAGCATTGTCGAATTCTTCATAAAACTCAAGGTCGCTTATTTTCACAGCTGCATTATCAACACCTCACTGTACATTCAATTATTCCACACACACACACACACACACACACACACACACACACACACACACACACACACACACACACACACACACACACACACACACGCATAGACTGTCACACTTTGGCAGAAGTTCATGATTTTCACACTGAATCGGAGTTCATTAACACTTTCTCACCCCAAAGATAGAACAACATCCAGAACAGCTGATCTCGACACACAGACATGTGTAAAGTTACATAACAACCTTCATTAAATATGCATTTCAATAAGTTCAGTCTCATTCTGTATGAAATATCAAGCTGGTTTACATGATATGTGTGTGTATAGTGTATAATTATTTTGTATATATAAATGCACACACAGAAAAAATATGTTATTTATGTATAAAATATTTATATTTACAAATATAATATAAATTATGTATAAATATATATACAGTCTTCTTTGAACATTTTTGCATGATGAGAGTGAATTTGGGTTTTGTGTCCATTTGCATTTGCAATTCAAGAATTATTACGATTTATTATGAACGAACTTGAAATCACACTTGGGTATAATTATGCTTTTTCCCATATTTTGTGCTGACGTTTAAAAAAAATCTGCAAAATTCTGTGGAACGAATATTCTGTGTAAAGAGAGAGCAAGACTCTAATTTCTGAAAGCATCATCAAATTACTTTTATTAAACAAACTAAAAATGTGCAGAACAGCCGTTTGAATTCAGAGAAGTGGACCTGGATGGGGTTCAGAGTGTTTTGCAATTTTAAAAACGTAAAGCCCACTTTAAAAACGTAAAGCCCACTGTTCAGAGCACACAGAGAGCAGAGACGAACATGTGTGTGTGTGTGTGTGTGTGTCTAAAACACTGTTACGCTGCTTGCTTTCTTTGTGAATCAGTGTAGTTCAGCGGCTACACTTATCCTTCAAACTTTAATAGCACAAGTCTGTGAATTATGAATGTAGACAGGAGCAGAGACTCACTCTCACGCTCTCTCTCTCCGTCACATGACTATCGCTTCCAGAACGTTCTTGCTATTAAACTACATCAGAGAAAGCTAGTGTTAAAATATATCTCTGAACACATCCAAAAACGTAAAAGGCAGCTCAACACCACATGAGACTCACTACAAAAACAAACTTTCGAAAGATGAAGACGCATCCTAGCTAAAACATTCATCGTTAAAATTATTAGTACAGAAGAAAATACATTTATAATTCCTTTAACCTTTCATCTTTTTTTTTTCTCACTAAGCTCAACGCAGTGCATTCTGGGATTGCCCTCTCTGTGAAGGATACAGTACATGCCATCTTATCTTCAAGAGTGATAGCTTGCTGTCTAGATAGGCAGCAGCTCGGTAGCTTTTGGAGCAGAACTAAAATCTCCTGAAATAAAGGCAGTGTCTATTTACACTGACTGCAAATTTTATTTTCATTCATGCATTTGGAAAATGCTTTTATCCAAAGCAACTTACATTGCATTCAAGATATTTTTTTATTAGGGATGCACCGTATGAAAATTTTGACCGATAACCGATAATTCTTTATATATGAAAGCCGATAACCGATAAATTGGCTGATAAATCTAAATCCAAATTTTTATATAATTTTTGGGAGCCTGATTACAAAAACAAAAGTCTCACAATCAAAAGCCATCATTCTCATTATAATTTTATGTAGCCTATATGACAGATGATTTTGCACTTAACTGAATTTTCCTTTTTTGAAGTGATTCCAATCATATTTCAATCAATTCAAAGCCATCATGTTGAACAGTGTGCATCTGAAGTGTCTCAGCTGAGGGAAATAATACATTATTTATCGACTTTAATATATCGGCCAAATTTACTTATCGGGCCGATAATGATAACATTAAAAACGAACATATATCGGGCCGATACCGATATGGTTTCACTATTTATTATTTGTTTAAACTGTGCATTCCAGTAAAATGTTTCACTAAGTGCAAATTAGTCGACATTGTTTGCAAAAGGAGTTTTCACTGACTCTGACCACCAATGCATATATTTAAAATTTAGTACAAACAGCATATTATTTGTGCTTATATTGCATCTATCAATATTCAGGAATATTAGAATATTACACACTGCATCCTCTAAGGACACACACCGAAACACACAACACCACAACCGTAACACAATGACAGTCTGTCCTGCTTTCCAAAACACACACACACACACGCACACGCACACAACAAGATACACACACACACACACACACACACTCACTTACTAACACACAACAAGATACACACACACACACACACAACAAGATACACACACACTCACTTACAAACACACAACAAGATATACACATATACACACTCACTTACAAACACACAACAAGATACACACACATACACACTCACTTATAAACCCACAACAAGATACACACATACACACTACACCAAAATTACATAATAGTACATACCCTGACAAATGCTACAGAGAAAAGAAACAAAACAGATTGTATAATCACATGAAATGTGAATTTCAGATAAAACAGACATGATACACACACACACACACACACACACACACAGATGTGAGGAGTGTTTTCTTACCGAGGAGTACAGGAAACCCTCTCCATTCATGGCTACGTAGAGTCCAGCCTTCACACCCTGAATCGCCACGACCCGCAAACCCACCGGGATCAGATTAAACAGAGCTGAAACACACAACACAAACACACCGGAATCAGATTAAACAGAGCTGAAACACATGACACAAACACACCGGGATCAGATTAAACAGAGCTGAAACACACAACACAAACACACCGGGATCAGATCAAACAGAGCTAAAACACACCGACACAAACACACCGGGATCAGATTAAACAGAGCTGAAACACACCGACACAAACACACCGGGATCAGATTAAACAGAGCTGAAACACACGACACAAACACACCGGGATCAGATTAAACAGAGCTGAAACACAACAACACAAACACACCGGGATCAGATTAAACAGAGCTGAAACACACAACACAAACACACCGGGATCAGATTAAACAGAGCTAAACACAACAACACAAACACACCGGGATCAGATTAAACAGAGCTGAAACACACAACACAAACACACCGGGATCAGATTAAACAGAGCTGAAACACACGACACAAACACACCGGGATCAGATCAAACAGAGCTGAAACACACCGACACAAACACACCGGGATCAGATTAAACAGAGCTGAAACACACGACACAAACACACCGGGATCAGATTAAACAGAGCTGAAACACACAACACAAACACACCGGGATCAGATTAAACAGAGCTGAAACACACGACACAAACACACCGGGATCAGATTAAACAGAGCTGAAACACAACAACACAAACACACCGGGATCAGATTAAACAGAGCTGAAACACAACAACACAAACACACCGGGATCAGATTAAACAGAGCTGAAACACAACAACACAAACACACCGGGATCAGATTAAACAGAGCTGAAACACAACAACACAAACACACCGGGATCAGATTAAACAGAGCTGAAACACAACAACACAAACACACCGGGATCAGATTAAACAGAGCTGAAACACAACAACACAAACACACCGGGATCAGATTAAACAGAGCTGAAACACACGACACAAACACACCGGGATCAGATTAAACAGAGCTGAAACACAACAACACAAACACACCGGGATCAGATTAAACAGAGCTGAAACACACAACACAAACACACCGGGATCAGATCAAACAGAGCTGAAACACACAACACAAACACACCGGGATCAGATCAAACAGAGCTGAAACACACAACACAAACACACCGGGATCAGATCAAACAGAGCTGAAACACACAACACAAACACACCGGGATCAGATTAAACAGAGCTGAAACACACGACACAAACACACCGGGATCAGATCAAACAGAGCTGAAACACACGACACAAACACACCGGGATCAGATCAAACAGAGCTGAAACACACGACACAAACACACCGGGATCAGATTAAACAGAGCTGAAACACAACAACACAAACACACCGGGATCAGATTAAACAGAGCTGAAACACACGACACAAACACACCGGGATCAGATCAAACAGAGCTGAAACACACGACACAAACACACCGGGATCAGATCAAACAGAACTGAAACACAGGACACAAAAAAAAAACCGGGATCGGATTAAACAGAGCTGAAACACAACAACACAAACACACCGGGATCAGATTAAACAGAGCTGAAACACACGACACAAACACACCGGGATCAGATCAAACAGAGCTGAAACACACGACACAAACACACCGGGATCAGATTAAACAGAGCAGAAACACACGACACAAACACACCGGGATCAGATCAAACAGAGCTGAAACACACGACACAAACACACCGGGATCAGATTAAACAGAGCTGAAACACAACAACACAAACACACCGGGATCAGATTAAACAGAGCTGAAACACACCGACACAAACACACCGGGATCAGATCAAACAGAGCTGAAACACAACAACACAAACAGACCGGGATCAGATTAAACAGAGCTGAAACACAACAACACAAACACACCGGGATCAGATTAAACAGAGCTGAAACACACGACACAAACACACCGGGATCAGATCAAACAGATCTGAAACACACGACACAAACACACCGGGATCAGATCAAACAGAGCTGAAACACACCGGCACAAACAGACCGGGATCAGATTAAACAGAGCTGAAACACACCGACACAAACAGACCGGGATCAGATCAAACAGAGCTGAAACACACGACACAAACACACCGGGATCAGATTAAACAGAGGTGAAACACACAACACAAACACACCGGGATCAGATCAAACAGAGCTGAAACACACGACACAAACACACCGGGATCAGATTAAACAGAGCTGAAACACAACAACACAAACAGACCGGGATCAGATTAAACAGAGCTGAAACACAACAACACAAACACACCGGGATCAGATTAAACAGAGCTGAAACACACGACACAAACACACCGGGATCAGATCAAACAGAGCTGAAACACACGACACAAACACACCGGGATCAGATCAAACAGAGCTGAAACACACCGACACAAACAGACCGGGATCAGATCAAACAGAGCTGAAACACACGACACAAACACACCGGGATCAGATCAAACAGAGCTGAAACACACGACACAAACACACCGGGATCAGATTAAACAGAGCTGAAACACACGACACAAACACACCGGGATCAGATTAAACAGAGCTGAAACACACCGACACAAACACACCGGGATCAGATTAAACAGAGCTGAAACACACCGACACAAACACACCGGGATCAGATTAAACAGAGCTGAAACACACGACACAAACACACCGGGATCAGATTAAACAGAGCTGAAACACACCGACACAAACACACCGGGATCAGATTAAACAGAGCTGAAACACACCGACACAAACACACCGGGATCAGATTAAACAGAGCTGAAACACACGACACAAACACACCGGGATCAGATTAAACAGAGCTGAAACACACGACACAAACACACCGGGATCAGATTAAACAGAGCTGAAACACACCGACACAAACACACCGGGATCAGATTAAACAGAGCTGAAACACACAACACAAACACACCGGGATCAGATTAAACAGAGCTGAAACACATGACACAAACACACCGGGATCAGATCAAACAGAGCTGAAACACACCGACACAAACACACCGGGATCAGATTAAACAGAGCTGAAACACAACAACACAAACACACCGGGATCAGATTAAACAGAGCTGAAACACACGACACAAACACACCGGGATCAGATTAAACAGAGCTGAAACACACCGACACAAACACACCGGGATCAGATTAAACAGAGCTGAAACACACAACACAAACACACCTGGATCAGATTAAACAGAGCTGAAACACATGACACAAACACACCGGGATCAGATCAAACAGAGCTGAAACACACCGACACAAACACACCGGGATCAGATTAAACAGAGCTGAAACACACCGACACAAACACACCGGGATCAGATTAAACAGAGCTGAAACACATGACACAAACACACCGGGATCAGATTAAACAGAGCTGAAACACACCGACACAAACACACCGGGATCAGATTAAACAGAGCTGAAACACACCGACACAAACACACCGGGATCAGATTAAACAGAGCTGAAACACACAACACAAACACACCGGGATCAGATTAAACAGAGCTGAAACACACGACACAAACACACCGGGATCAGATTAAACAGAGCTGAAACACACCGACACAAACACACCGGGATCAGATTAAACAGAGCTGAAACACACAACACAAACACACCGGGATCAGATTAAACAGAGCTGAAACACACGACACAAACACACCGGGATCAGATTAAACAGAGCTGAAACACACCGACACAAACACACCGGGATCAGATTAAACAGAGCTGAAACACACGACACAAACACACCGGGATCAGATCAAACAGATCTGAAACACACGACACAAACACACCGGGATCAGATTAAACAGAGCTGAAACACACCGACACAAACATCTTGATGATCACATGTTGCTCTTTCACAGATCAAGATAGATAGATAGATAGGGAGATAGGTAGGGAGATAGAGAGATAGGTAGATAGATAGGTAGGTAGATAGATAGATAGATAGATAGATAGATATATAAAGATATTCAAAGGAGGGATGAAGGATAGGAGAGCGAGAACTCAATCTACTAAGTATCGGAGGAAGGTTTCAAACACTCGTCTCGTTGCTGCTGATTCAGTTCAAGTCCGTAAAAATCGACAGGAGGGAAAAAACCCAGAGGAGAGAGAAAACAGGATCAGCGGAGGAGTGCAGGATAACAGAGGGATGGAGGAGGAGAGATCAGAGGGATGAGTGTGCTTGTGTGAGAGAGGAATATGAGAGAGAATTCATGTTTACAGCAATTTTCATATGATGCATGTATGTGTGTAAGTAAGGAATTAATACAAGAAATACATACTTTTATCCATCAAGGACGCATTAAATTGATCAAAAGTGACAAAGACATTTATAATGTTACAAAAGAGTCTATTTCAAATTAATGCAGTTCTTTTGAACTTTCTATTCATCGAAGAATCCTGAAAAATAAAATATATCAGTTTCCACAAAGATATGAACACTGATAATAATCATAAATGTTTCTTGAGCATCAAATCATCATGTTAGAGTGATTTCTGAAGGATCATGTGACACTGAAGACTGGAGTAATGATGCTGAAAATTCAGCTTTGATCACAGGAATAAATTACACTTTACTATATATTCATATAAAGAACAGTTATTTTAAACTGTAATAATATTTCACTATTTTTACTCTATTTTTGATCAAATAAATCCAACCCTGGTTCGCATAAGAATTCTTTTCCAGAAACATTTAGAATCTAAATCTAAATGAATCCACACTTTTGACCGGTAGTGTGTGTTGAATGCATCTTGCTTATAAAAGTAAAGTTATTTACAGTTAGTTGAACTGTTGACATGCATCGACCTGAACAATAACACATTTGGTTTATTGACGCATGCATTTGTGCTGAAGTTAGTTGTTGTAACTCAAGATATTGCACTATTTTCATTATTGTATTGTCCATTGTAGGTTTTTATTGCTATAATGCCATGTATTGA